TAGCAGCAACAGCGTATCCTAAAGCGGTATACCCCGCCATCACATCGTCACCAATCTCACCCGCCAACCACCCGCCGCCACCAATGCCCAAGAAGCGGGAATTATAAGCATCCTGGAGAGGCAACCAGACGTTAACTGTGACTACAGAGTGCGAGCTGGGGCGGGTGTATGAGACGGTGACGTTACACGCCGTCACGCCTTCCGGGGGCACGAGTGCTGCTTCAGGTTTCCATCCTGAGTTTTGGGTGAAGTCTGTGAAGGGGTTGGCGGTGGTAGAGTGATATATGAGGTCTCCGACTTGAGGGAATGAGAAGGAAGTTGGTGAACAGGGTTTTGCGGCAACGTGGACTGAGGTGGCTAAGGCTAAGCCGGCTAGGATGAGTGGACCGGCCATGTTGAGTCTGGAAACCGTCGTTCTGGTGAAGGCTAAGCTTCATGGATTGTGATCATGAAGAGCGATACTAGATATATGAATGATAGCTCGCTTAGTTCGTACATCGTACTCGTATGCTTAAGCGATGAGGAGCAGACTACGTTGACTGTGGAGTCGCGGGGTCCGCGCAGAGTCCGACTATGTAGCACCATAAATCCCTGTTGACGATCGTCTACGGACTACTCCGTTGGAGGTTGCCAGGAGGTACGAGCAAAATAGAGCTTTACCTTGCAAAGTAGTCTGTATGTAAAACACGGTGAGAAGATGGTGGCATGCCAACAGGTATCATTCCTCTACGTCTATCATTCACAAATGTAAAATAACACCATCAACACCTCTTTGTCTAGCCATCCTCAAGCGGCCTCCTCACAAAGATCTCCAAAGCCCCTCTCATCTTCTCCTCGACAGCTTTCCTCTCCTTATCTTTGGCAGGCAACCCCACCCGGCACACAGCCTTGCCAAACACCTCACCGACCCTCCTCTCTCGAAGACGCCGCCTCGCCAACGCAGCCTCAGCAGCCGCGTTGCCGCCCGTAAGCCGTCTAAAGCTGAGACTCCGCCTGTTGGGCTTCTGCATGGTCAGCGCCTCGACCTCTGACCGCGAGATGGGAGCCATCTCCGCGACCACTTTGGACAGCGTCGCCGTGAGGAAGACAAAGGCGATATTGTGATTGGGCGCCGTGGCGAGGATGTCTAACACCGCAGTCTTGTCGTCTTCGACTTCGGGTGGTGACCGTGCTGCGGCCGCTCCCAGGTGAGGGATGGCAACTTCGATCTTGGCCCAGAGGGCTGCGGTGATGATGCCATCAGTCAGGCCGCTAAGGAAGAGAAGCAGGACCTCGGCGAGTACTTCGAGGCGGTATAGTGATGGGACTTCAACGGGAAGCGCTTCGACAAGGGGTTGGTCATTGTCCAGTGCCTCGATTAAAGCGATAATCTGGCTGTCACGGGACTCTTTGTCTTTGAACAGCCATGTGGTCTCGTCAAAGGGCCAGCCGGGCTTGTCAGCCGGGATGACATGTTCCTCAATCATGTTTGCTTCCGCGATGGCGCGGAGCATCATCACCTCGACAGCTTCTGTAAGCTTGAAGAGCTCCTTAGGAGCAGCGCAGCGGACGTCGAGATCGTATGGGATGGAACCGGAGCTCTTGCTATCCCTCGACTTCATGAAAGCCCGAATGCCTCCGTCGGGAATACGGATGAGCTCGTCTATCGAGCGTCCGAAACACGTCGGAAGCCACGAGGCGCGGACTGGAATGAAATGGTCTCTGCCGTCTTCAACACGCAGAACCAAGATGTCCTCAAGAGTTGACCGGCCGTCGTTGAGGGCTCGGACATGGGAAATGTCGCTAACGTATATCTCCAAAACACCACTGACCGTCTCGCCGGGTTCCAAGGTGACCTCGTCGCCCAGATCTGGCGACTCCTCTGCGCTTTCGTCAGCGGCTGTGCGTTTGAATGATGATCTTAGCCAGGCTGGTGGGCTCGAAGCCTCGGAATCCTCCTCAATCGTGGGTTTCTCAACAAAAGCAAACTTGGCCGGCACTCGTCCAGTGTTTGCGATTGTCAACGTCGCCGTCTGTTTGCAGCGGTAGGTAACATCTCCAAAGTCGACGGCTTCACCAAGGTCCACCCCATCCTCACCCTTGGCTTGCATGTCTGGGTTGTCAAGGATGACGGTGACGAGAGGCCGTCCCTCGTTCTCGGCACGATCCAGCTCCTTTGCAACTTCGGCATGGACTTTAGCCTTGAGATCCGGCACCACCGCGTCGTAGTCGAGCGTGAAGATGGAGATGATAGGCTTGTGGTCTGAGGAAATGATCCGCTGGTGTGAAGTGTAGATATCGAGCTGTATTCTGTCCGTGAATCCTTCCTTGGTGACAACTTCCTCTGGTTCGTTATCATCTTCTTCATATTCGTCGTAGTCGAGGCCAGCTTCGCCCGTAGGCACCTCCTCGCCGTCCGCATCCGGGTCGTAGCTGAACAGGACGTCGTCGTCATCGGTCGCATGGTCGATACCCCGCGCCGTCATCTCCTCGTCCTTCTTCTTTGCCTCCTCGGCCTCCTTGACCCTTTGCTCATATTCCTCCCTGTCCTTTCTTGTTCTGTACAAAATACGATCGCACCAACTCGGGGCTCTTTGTTTCTCGCTCGAGTCAAAGAGACTGATGGTCCCGACGTCGTATTTGTACGAGGGCAGGAAAGTGATTTGTCCTTCGCGCCAGCCGTCGTGGAAGGCCTTCTTCTCCTTGATTATCCTCCTTAGCTGGTCATGCGGCAGAAGAGAGTCCAGGGTTGCTTGCAAAGACGCAGGATCGTCACTTGGGTCAGGCAAAAAGTCGTCGGGATCTGGCAGGGAGCTTGAGGAATCATCAAAACTGGCCTCTGATGATAGAGTCGTTTCGATCGTTGAGGTGTCGTCATCCGTGTAGTCACTCTTCTTTGCGCTCTTGACCACTAGAACCTCCTCGCCGGCGATAACTTTGCGCCCCCTTTTGTCCAAGTCGTACTCGCCACGGGTGTGTAGTTGAAGCAGGCGCCGGATATCATTACCGGGCAGTCCATCCACACGGAAATTCAAGTCACCCACCCAGAAGGCAAAGTCCTCGTCGCCAATCTTCTCCGGCTCAGCTTCATTTTCTCCTGCCAGATTGATCGGGTCAAACTGCGTCCTTGTCAAAATCTGCCCGACGTCCCACAATCTCCGGTCCAGGTATGTCTGCTCCGCGCCGCTAGCCAGGTGGCAGTTGACAAAGACCATGCGGGTTGTCTCCCCGAGCAGTAGTCGCGTAGTTACAGCTCCCTTGTTCCCCAAGTATCCAAAGAGGCCCGTTCCGACAGAGACTGTGCTCACGTTGCTGACTGTAGGTGCTACCTCAGGGGAAGCATAGGCCAGCAGCAACAGACCAGACATTTGCTCTGCGGCAACGAGCTCGTATCCATCCGGCATGGCTTCTTCCAGGGCTTCTTTCCACTTCTTCATAGGTCCTTGATCGGATGCCATGCGGTTCATGTAGTCCCTTGCCATATTCAGGTCGACAATCTCCTGCAAGCCCAAGACGTACAGTCCGACCTTGTCGCCTCCGACCAAGTGCACCGAGGCATTCGGATCTTGCTCTTCAGTCGCATCCTTGGCCGGTTCCTTGGTTCCGTCCTTGGCGGCTGGCGGAGGATCCGTCTCTACCGTATCGTGATCCGCGATGTTGAGCCTCGAGAGCGTAGTGTCGAGACCATATCCGTCAACGAACCAGCTCGCCAGGTCCTTGTCGGTGCCAGGACACGCAGCCACGTTCCATGTTCCAATCTTGACCCGGATCCGGTGTGGCCGTACGTACTCTGCCCGACGAGCGTAGACGGCACGGGCAAGGGACTGCGGCGTGGACGAGAGGTCGACGGGGTCTGAGGTCGTGGAGGGGATGGTCTCGGAGGGGGGCGCCATCGCGGGAGCCGAAGCCATGCGCTGGTTGCTGCTGAGATGCAAGCGAGCGAGGGAGCGTGCAGGAGTGGTAGTTTCGAGAGGTCCCAGAGAAAGGGAGCTCTAGGGGTCTAAGGGGGTATTATTTGACGGGGTCGGTGGACGGCGCTGGCGGCGGCGTCGGCGGCGGCTAAGAGGGGTGAGACAAGAGGCCGGTCCAGGGTCCTCTGCTTTGGTGTGTCTGTTGTTGGTCGTCGATCAGTCCGGCGTGGCCCGGCGCATGATGTTCGTATTTTGAGCGTGGCTACGAGTTGTCGTAAGTGAGGTCACGGACCAGGATGGCTTCAGTTATGCGCAGGAGTCGACCAGGCGCGAGAGGGAGCCGAAGTAGTAGTCAGCGAGATGGCCTGGATGTTGGATGAAACTTGGATGCCCTAGAAATGTACGGACGAGCCGGAGCAGAGAGGAGATTGGAGGGGAAGAAGATGAACAAGATCTGAACAGTCTTGAAGTCGTTAAAGGCGTTTGTTCAATAAGATGTTGCAGAAGTATCCCGCTACCAGGTATATGGAGTAGAGAAAGGGAGGGAAAAGAGACTGGGGAAGGGAAAGATTATCGCCGGGATCTCTCATCCACAGATTCCCGTCGTCGGACGCCTCGTTTCTGGGTCGCAGGACCGGTGACGTGCATCTTTTCCCGGGGGGTCGCACCTCACAGTCACTGACAGCGCTGCGCTGGAACGACAGGGGGTTTGCTAGGGGACCCCTCTGCATTTCTGCACTGCCACAGCGCTGGGATTGGCGGGGTAGACTCGCGTGCTTTATCGCGATAAGGCTCAGATAAGCCGATAAGGCACCTACGGCCTGAAGACGGGGGAGATCCACCTCGCACACTGACCTCATCCGCACCTCTTCCGAAGCAACCAAGCTTCAACTTGCTCACCTTACACCTTACAAGTTGACAACACCACAACCTCCAACTTCACGATACCTGCTCAACTCTCCCACGGACAACAATCTCCGACGACTCTACGACCCACATACAAACACCAACCCGACTCCAAGCTCACATTCCTACAGCAACACTACACACACACACACACACACACACACACACACACACACACACACACACATCACCAACACCACCACAATGTCCCGATCAACCCCCCGTCGACGCGGCGGCGGCCACGCCCGCCACTCCTCCCAAGGAAACCCAATCTCCGGCCCCCGCCCGGTTCAATCCGACTACGAATCCGACGCGGCGCACTACATCGACTCCCACCCCGTCCCGGACCCGAACCCAGCCCTCCTCAACCGCACAAACACGGACCTCAACCTCTCCGTCCTCCGCCGTTACCTCCCCTCCATAAACTCAACCCTCTCCATCGCCGCCAACGCCGTCGTCTACACCTTCAATCCCACCCTCCCGGGCTGGGACAAGACGGGCATCGAGGGGACCTATTTCCTGTGCATGCAGGACCCCGTCCCCGGCGCGGCACCAAATCCGAGAGCATGCATCTTTGTGTTGAATCGCCGCGGGCTGGAGAACGTGATTCTCGATCTGAGCGAGGTGGACGACTTTGAAGTCATGGACGAGATTTACATCTTTCGCCTCCGTGGCACGAGCGAGGAAGCCGCAGAAGGAACCAACAAAGTCATGGGCATCTGGATCCACGCAGACAAGGAGGACACGCGCGTTATGAACGCCGCCCTCATCTCCGAGACGCTGAGACACGTCCGCCTCGCCCAGGAGCAGAACGCCGTGGCTGGTTTCGGCGGCCCCGGTGGGCCAGGCGGCGAAGAGGAGCTGGGCCCCGCGATGCAGGCCATTGGCCGGAAGCTGAGCTTGAGCGACCTGTTTGGCGCGCAGAATGGCCTCCAGGGTTAGGAGCCCGCGGTTTATGCTGCGGGGGTCAAGGCGCGAGAGTCTTCGGTGAGGGGATGGGGCATTGCGGAGGCGTCTGATGTGTGGGGAATGGCAAAGATTTGCCTGCTTGGAACTGAGATGAAGAACCTTCAAAGACGTTAAGTTGAAGTTGGTGTTGGTGTTGAAGCTGGGGCTGAAGACAGAACAGCGTGGAGGGGAACGAACTGCACGATACATGTCCTTGGGAGAAAAGGGGAACGCTCCGGAGAGCGTAGCGGTTGAACCAATGATACCCTTGATTAAGAAAGAAAGAAAAAAGTCATTTTTCATACATGAATGCAAAGTCGTCATGGGACTCGGCAATTCTGCAAAAGTCCCTCCAGTCGTGACTCGCAAAGTCTAGGGGGCTGCGTTTCTTTTTCTCTATTACAATCCCCAAAAGCCTTGACCCTTCCTAGACCATGCTCGCGTAAAAAACTCCCCTACCATTACCAGCAGACTCTTGAGTGAAACCCATCGCCCAGACTAAGACGCGGAAAGTAAACAAAAGATACGAGGGTCTCGCTCATACGGTGCCACTGATGCTGAGCTCGCGAATCTCCTGCAGCACTTGCTCGACACGCTGATCCAGCTGGCCCTGCGCATACTGTTCTCTCGTATCCGCGTCCAAATACTGCTGCACCTGCGCCATACGACTGTACGCCTCAGCGCAGAAGCGTAGCTGGATCTTGACGAGGGCTTCGAAGGTGGGGTCGAGATACGGCACGCGGAGGTCGATGAGCTGGGGAAGTTCTGACGACAGCTGCTCGTTGAGCTGCTCGTAGGCGGCCTTTGCCATTTCCATCTCCTTCTCGGCGCGGGGCAGCTTGGTCACGTCCTTGTCGGGCTTCTCGACAAGCTTCTTGACCTTGGCACGTAGCGCATCGTAGTCGAGGAGCTTGTGGCCGCGCTTCTTGATGCCTGGGAAGGGTCAGCAATTTGACATGAGAGTGCAGCCTGGGTTATACCGACATTCGTTTACGTCTGGGAAATAAGCGCAGAAGCGTGAGATGGGCTCGAGAACGGTTTGCCTAAACGACGTATTAGCCATTATGCTGATACCCGAGTCGTCGCCAGTGATCATACTGGTAAGGACCATCCAGCGCCTTAATGGTCTCGGCATCAAGGTCCTCCACTGCCTGCTTGTAACTTCTGCTCACGCCGTCCTTCGCGCCAGAGTCTCCGTAAAAGGCGTCTATCGTCTCGGCAATGCGCATCTGGGAAGCAGTCATGGCTGTTGCACAAAGTTAGCCCACAGTCATCCTTGGCAAAGGGAGGTGCATAGTCGTAGACCGCCAAACCCACCTCGCAATGAATCCAAGTAGCCCTTTGCCTCCTTCTGCAACCGCAAGGAAGCCGTCTCCATGGTTCTGAATCGTCTGCCAAAAGAAGTCTCAGTATTGTGTTTCGTTCCGTCGGGCGTCTCGGCCTTGGGGATAGGGTGTAGCCCACCTCTCTTCCACCTCGTAGTCGCGGTCGTTGGTCTTCTCCACATGGCCTGCCAAGATCAGAACCTCTTCGTATTTCATGACTGTAAGTTGGGCAGAGAGGGCTCACCCGTCTTCATCATCACCTGCGTCGTCGCGCGGTTGACATTTTTCTTGAATCCTGTAGCCAAATACCATCAGTTCAGATCCTTCGTTGTTGGTGTCCTCCATTTTCTTTTGCTCAGGTTGCGCCCGAGGAGGGTCCGAGACTCTCAAGTCGTACCTGCCCACGACATCTTGGCTGTCTTGCTGTGTGTTTCCTCTTAGTACTCGGTGCTAAGGTCCGGAATAGGAATTCAAAGGCACTAGAATGCTCGAGTGGGTAGTGTATGTGAACTGATCACTCGGTGGTTTCGGCAGGTATCGTTGTTCGTAGGAAGGCCGTTTCGTCGTCCGGAGTTGAATTGATGGGGGGGGTGGTGGTGCACTGGCTGGTGGAGGGGGAGAAAGGAAATGCGGTTTTGATTGCGCGGACGAATCACTCAATGCACCTGGAGCACAGCACCTGAACATGCTGGGGAGACCCAACTGCACCTGGGCAGCGCCCAGAAACGGAAACCGACGTCAGCGAACAGAGGCTTTGGAGCTGCGCCACGGCCTTGTTGGTGCTAGCTCCTCTTAGCGCCGGGTAGCTCTGTGGCTCAGCCCTGTAGGCAGCCTGTATTGTTGTGCTTACCTAAGGCAGCTAAAGCCAAGGCGGTGGGCGCAAGTGCCGTTTTCCGATTGTTCACTCCCCGGTGACTCAGCGTCAGTGATTATGTAAGGAGACACTTGTGCAGCCGTGCACGAGGCCAATTCTACCCAGAAGCTTCTTTGTGCAAACGCAAGCTGCTTATACGATTTTTTATGCACACCTTGTTAGACCAGGAGAATGGCCTCAAATTCTTTATGCTGACGAAGATATATATGTTCAGTCCAGCCTTTAATAATGTTACAAGTCCCTGGTTTTCATAGCCTCTCATGATAAATCTCAACACCACCACTCTCTCTTAATTCATTCATCTCATTACATTACAGACAGCACCAAAGAAAAGAAATAAAAATGAGCGCACCTCGTTTTCTACTCATCAGCCTGGGAAATCCAGAGCCACACTACAACACCCTTCACTCCGCTGGTCACCATGCTCTCAACTCTCTACAAAAACTCCTGGGCCCCTCTCAACCCGCCTTCCATAGAGGCCGCTTCGGTGGCAGCTCCTGCCTGGCCTCAATCGGGCCCAAATACGCAATGATCCAGAGCCCCTCCGTCATGAATGTAACCGGGAAATGGTTGGCAAAAGCATGGAAGGAAACCCTCGGCACTCGGAACCCAGCAGACCTAAGTCTCATCCTTGTCCACGACGATCTGGAAGAGGACCTGGGCTTCGTCAAAACAAGAAAGTGGAAGAGCAGTCACAGAGGCCACAATGGTATCAAGAGCGTCAACAACTGTCTCCGCGAGGCAGATTACCCAGAGTCAAAATGGGCGAGGATAGCAGTTGGCATTGGACGGCCCGATCAGCGCGATCACTCTACGGTATCTAACTACGTCCTGAAGCGCATGACCAGGGACCAATGGTCTGCTCTCGAAACCAACGGAGGCCCTGGCGTGCTTGAGTGCCTTCTCGCATTCGAGGAGAAGCTTGACGCTGCAGCGGGGAAGTGAAGTATCCGAAGCTTCACCCAGTTCCCCTCCTCTACCTCATACCCTCGGCGCACGGTAGCCCACATCCTACCCTGCATCCATTCTGAGCCTCCAACATGAATAAAGGCATCAAAAATGCAGCAGGAGACGACGGTCGTTGCGAATGCGTCTCTTGATAGCCCTAGGACAATGCTGAGTCTGTCCCTGGTGCCGGGCGCGCAAAGCAAAGCCTCATGTCGTCGGAGCCAAAGGCTATGAGGAAGCCACGGGGCGAATCAATTCGCCATCAGTGAGCGTCCCATTCCTTACTTCATGTAGCCTCATCGGGCCCAGGCCGCCCATCGAGCCATTTGCTCATGTACGGCCCATCGAGCCAGTACCCGAGCTTAGCGTAGTAGCTTCTCACACCTACACCAGAAATAACACTAATCTTTTCGCTGCCGTGTTCGTCCCTTGCAATTCTCTCTGCCTCCTCCATCAGGAGCGTGCCGAAACCCTGGTGCTGGAACTTCTTCGGGTCTCTGGCGTGTACCGGCACTGCGGTACCGTAAACGTGCAACTCTCTGACCAGACTCGTTGGCTGTCCAACGAGCTCCTCTCGGTACGTGTACTTTTCGGTGCACTTTCGTAGACGCAACAGGGCAACGAGAATGTCCTGCTTCGGGTCCTCGTATGCAAGGAACGTTTCCCATCCGCCGTTGGCTGTGTAGTCTCGTCGCACTAGCTCGATCTGGTTCGGCCTAATCTTGTTTTTGACCTCGTTGACACCGACCTCGCGCGTCCGCACATCTCGACATGTTGTACCAAAATCCTTCATTCTCGCCAATGCCAATTCGCGCAAGTTGCCGTTCTCTACGCCCGACGTGACCAAAGGCATGGGGATATCTCTCTGCACTCGGTAGATACGTGTCCATGGCGGGATTAGCGCCAGAATTCGCGCAACCAGATCGATCAAGCCGTTGGGGGTGTAATTCTGGTATCGACCTGTGCGCCACAGCTCGTACAGGCCAGTGCCTCTGATGACGAGAGTCGGGTAAATTTTTAGACCGTCCGTACGGAACGCAGGGCTCTCAAAGTACTCGCGGAACTGGTCCAGATCTCTCTCCATGCCCACGTTAGGCAAATCAGGCATCATGTGACTGACCACCTTGAAACCAGCGTCCTTGGCCAGGCAGAACGTCTCGGCGACGGCGGCAACGGTGTGGCCACGGTTCGTGTCTCTTGCAACGTCTTCGTAAAGCGACTGTACTCCAATCTCCAACCTCGTGCAGCCATAACGCAACATATCGGTCAAATGCGGCTGCCAACAGTAATCCGGTCTCGTCTCGATTGTGATACCGACGCACTTGATGTTGCTCATCTCACTAGCCTCCACTGCCTCGTCCACGTTCGATGTCTGATATCCGCTGAGCGCATTATGTAATTGGGCGATAAAGTCCTCCCTGTACGGTACCGGCAGTGACATGAATGTGCCACCCATGATGATGTACTCCACCTTGTCGACTGAGTGACCCAGAGACTTGAGCTGGTCAACACGTCCGCGGGCCTGCTCAAAAGGATCGTAACGTGCGCGAATCGCTCGCATCGATGTGGGTTCGTATCCGGTGTAGGATTGGGTGCTGTATTCGAAATCGGAGTCTGGACCGCCGGGGCAGTATACGCAAATGTTCCCCGTGTAAGCAATGTGCGGACATCGGTGAGGCTTGCACATTACGGCTACTACAGCGATACCCGATGATGTTCCTAGCCGATCTAGTAAGCATGCGCCCGTTTGTGCGGAAAATGTAGGGAGATAGCATACGGATTGGTTTTGCAATGAGCTTCGGCAGGATGTATTTCTTGTAATGCTCAGGGATCGCAGCAATAATGGCCGTCAGAGGCGGGATATTGGCGAGCTTGTGCTTTCTCGAAAACTTGTTGCGCAAAGAATTGAGGTTGAGGTCCTTTGGCGGGTTCTTGGGGTCCCTGATAGCCTCGTGGTCTTCGATAAGGGCGTTGGCGACATCTGCGCAGCATCGTAGGAAGCGCTCGTTCTCTGGTGGGAGGTTATCGTTCTTGGACCGCCCCTTGGTGACGGTGACGGTGGTGGTCGCCATCCTGAGGGGTATGTGGGTAGTTCGAGTTTGGTGGGCGCTCGTCTCTTTGGTCGTTCGTCTTATTACGGCGGGATATTTTCAAGTCGAGGTCAGTCGCGTGTTTGCCGTGATTTCGCCCCCGTAGCGTCAAGTCGTCAGAGTCATGAAGTCGGAGTGTCGTTAGGGGTTGGAGAGTTGACTGTCCGATCACTTTGAAATTTTGGAGGAAACCGTCAAATGCAAGTTGCTGGATGGTGGGGTAGATCAGCCACAGCTTCACCCATTTGGAGACGCCACACGTCAAATCTGCATGTTGAAGTCGATACGTACTGTACGTACCGTTCAATGCAGGAGGGGTTTGGCAGGCACAGCTGGCAGGGTGCCCTTCGGTGCCTTCCCAATGTTCCCATCTTGGAGCCGTGCTGATTGCCGCGGCCTTCATTGGTCCGGTCGGATCATCCCCTTCACCGAATCGCCGAAATGGGCCACGGGTTTTCCCGGGCGTTCGGGTCCCGTGCTTGCCTCGTGGAGTCGTGGCTCGCCTGCTGCAGACCCGGTTGTCTCGCAAAAGAAGCGAAAGAGCTCGGTTCAAGTTTTGCTGCTGGCCTTCCCCTACTGCGAGTTTGACCCTTCTTTCGGAAAGTGACGTGAATTTGCATTGCAGCCACAGCTATCTTCTCTTTTTCCCTTCCCCCACGATAGCCGCCATCTGCCATCCTCTCTCACCAACGAGATCCTCCTCCGAATCCCATTACTTCCTCTCTTTAATTGGCGCCGCGGTTCTTTCGAAGCTGCGCTGTTCTACGTATTTTAACACACTCATACACACACATCGCCCAAGATGCAGTCCCTGAGACAGATGCGGCCGGCAGGCAAGCTCCTGAACCAAGCCGCGAAGCGTGCATACAGCGCCTCGGCAGCTGGCCCTTACACCAAGACCATTGACAACCTGCGCATCAACTCCGAGACCAAGGTGCTTTTCCAGGGCTTCACTGGCAAGCAGGGAACGTAAGTGGTGTTATCTTCCTCCGATGCCCGAGGGGCCGACTACCTCAGTAGCACATGTTTTCCCACCCCTGTTTGGGTGTTTTGGGGAGAGGCATATCTGGCGATATTTACTTTGTCCGCGCCTGCGCAGATTGATAGGCATGAAAGAAGATCAGTCTCAGCTAACAACAATTTGCGACACAGCTTCCACGCGCAACAGGCCATCGACTACGGTACGCGATAATAACTCCGAAGCAATTGCGCGACCCATATCTATCTCTCTCGCGCATCGCAAAAACCTTACTTTGGAAACACTCCGAGGCTGATATCAATGGACATGTACAGGCACCAAGGTCGTCGGTGGAACGAACCCCAAGAAGGCTGGCCAGGAGCACCTCGGTCTCCCCGTCTTCGGCAACGTCAGCGAGGCCGTCAAGGAGACTGGCGCCGATGCCACTGCCATCTTCGTCCCGTACGTTAACTCTACAATATCGTAAAGAAAATCCCTGGGAGAATAGGATGTTGACCTAGAATTCAAACAGCCCCCCTCTGGCCGCCGCCGGTATCGAGGAGGCCATTGCCGCTGAGATCCCCCTCGTCGTCTGCATTACTGAGGGTATCCCCCAGCATGGTATGCTCCCCTTTGCCCTCTCCAAGTTCCTCTAAAGCTTCAAAGCTCTGAAGTGAAGCTTTAGAGTGGCTTGAACCTTGAAGCAATCTCGCAGCTCGAATACTCACCATCCCCCAGACATGGTCCGCATCACCAACATGCTGAAGACGCAATCCAAGACCCGCCTCGTCGGCCCCAACTGCCCCGGTATCATCGCCCCCGGCCAGTGCAAGATCGGCATCATGCCCGGCTTCATCCACAAGCGCGGCCGCATCGGTATCGTCTCCCGTTCCGGTACCCTCACCTACGAGGCCGTCAACCAGACCACCCAGGCCGGTCTCGGCCAGTCCCTCGTCGTCGGTATCGGCGGTGACCCCTTCAGCGGCACCAACTTCATCGACTGCCTCAACGTCTTCCTCAAGGACGAGGAGACGGACGGCATCATCATGATTGGCGAGATTGGTGGTTCCGCCGAGGAGGACGCCGCTGACTTCCTCCGCGCCAACAACACCGTCAACGGCGGCAAGCCCGTTGTCTCCTTCATCGCCGGTATCTCCGCGCCCCCCGGCCGCCGCATGGGTCACGCCGGTGCCATCGTCTCTGGCGGCAAGGGCGGTGCCGACTCCAAGATCTCCGCGCTCAAGTCCGCCGGTGTCATTGTCGAGCCCTCCCCCGCCGGCCTCGGCAAGGCCCTCTACGACGAGTTCGTCCGCCGCGACCTCTTGTAAAAAAAAAAAAACCTGAACCACATCATATCTTCCAGACGTTGAAGGGGAAAGCTTCAGCTGTGTATGTAACATGTTAAAGAAGAGATTTTTGTGTTGAGAGCGTAGTCACCGGGATGGTCCCTTCGTGTCGTTGCGGAGGATAACGGACGGCGCTACCCCGTTTGCATCGCGCGGGTTGCGCTAAATGCGTGTGCGTGTGTGTTTTTGAACATGTTGCCCCAAATAACTTGATATAGACTGGAGGTTGGGCAAGGAACAATAGGGCAAGCATAGGAAGGAAAGTGGAAGAAGTGGGAAAGTTTGAACAAGTTCCTCAAGACTTCACGAAGTGAGAAATATCGCGGATCCTCTCTCCCATCCCTCTCCATCTCCAGTTTTGTATCTCCAATTCCCCAAGCTTTATAAACATTTTTATTACCGCGAGATATATGCAATGCTACCCGCTATCTCATTCCTCTGACCTCATTCGTTGCGCTTCGCGCCATCTCGGCATGTAGGGCCCTTGCCGTCGTACGACTCCCCATACAACATACAACCCCCGAGTAAAACCAACAAGGGTCCCGTCCCCGAACCCCGAGGGGAAAGCGGCTTCGGCCCAAAAAAACTGGGGACCAGTATCCGGAGGAAAGGATGCGGCTTTCATGTTGGATGATGTGGATTTTGAGTCGCCAATCTACTTACTAAAGAGGCCAATGCGACCTTGGTATGCGAGAGAGCATACATAAGCTAGGGCTACCTGTGTATCTTACAGAAAACACTCTTTGCTAGAAAGCTGCTGGAAAGCAGTGATGGGAGAAGAGTAGAAGAAACCAAAAACGTCCCGCGTGCCCAAAACGCCAAAAGTCCGCGATGCGGAACTGCTAGAGCCAAACGCTCAGGCAGGCAAATACTCCGTGCCCCGTTCAAACCAACCGTCCTTATTCCCGCCTGGATACCAGACATGCGACACGTTGCCGTCAAAGCAAAATGGTCCATACGAGCGCGCAAGCAGTAGGTTCTCGAAGGCGGCATCCTGAGCTTTTCAAGCCAGGATTGCTCCGAGTTCCCTATACCGCATCGCCAACGAACCACTCGCCACGAAAGCCAGAATTCCACTGATGCCCAACTCTAGAAGTAGACCAACTCCATACTCGATGCAATGCTGCCTGTCGTCTCATGATTTACCGTGTTCGTGACTTTGTACTCCTATCGCCTCGGAGCGAATGAGGTGATAGCCGGGTGGCCGTCGACCTCGATCGACCGTTCCGTCGAGCGACCTTTCTTCGGGTAGTCGAATCATTGCTCACCGAGGAGGTGGGCGGTGATGTCGCCAAGGTACGCCTCCTCCAGCTCATAGTCCATGCCACCATTGCGGTCGATTCCAATAAAGGTGAAGGCCTCAACGACAGCATCGAGCTCGAATCCCATGCCGACAAAGCGGTCAATAAGATCCTTATTGTAGCCGGCATACCTAAAAACCTGTCAGCCTTGTTTCTTTATGCAAATTTCCTGTGCTGTAGACTCGTCCAGCGTGCAGCCGACTCTTGAAAACACACCTGTTTGCGTCATCTTGCTTTACTTCGGAAGCAACTTGCTTGTACTTTGTTGTGTCAAAATCCTTTGACGGTGCACCAGCGTGCTTAACGGCCCACTCGTGTGCCTTTTTCGCAAACCCCTCGGGGTTCTCCAGCATCATCTTGGCCACCTCTGCATCTTGGGGATCCTTGGGATTCGGAAACTCGAGCAGCATGCGGAGGGAAAGCAGCGCCGTCTTTATCGTCTGCACGGGGGACCAACCACTGCCCAGTGTGTCGAGACAGATGGCTCCCTATCCCAGTTAGCATCTCTGGTGCTGGTGGTCTTGGAGGGCATATATGTTGTGAAGGATGGCGAAACAACCACAACGAGGCGATGGGAGAAAGACTCACGGTTTGACTGCTGACATTAGGATGCCAGATCTTGGTGATGAACTTAATGGTGGGAGATTTGAAGGGGTAGCTGTCGGGAATCTTAATGTCGACTTCATACAAGCCGCCGGCGTATGGTGTATCGGGAGGTGCGGGAAAGGAGCCCTTCAGATGCAGCAAGTTGGCCTCGTCGAGCGGCTGAGCAAATACTCCAGAGTTGTCCTTGTCATTGCGAATGTCATGCAACTCCTTGGTGATGCGTCGCTCCTTGGGGGTGGACATGTTGCAGATGCGTTGCGGATTCGATGGGGGTTGTCGATGGGTATTCCTTAGCAGTAGGGTAGGTGGTGCTGAAGATCCGAGACGTGTTATTTATAGAGTATGTAACGTAGTTAAATTTCGAGCTGTGTGATTCGAGTCGGTGATGCGTCGTTACTTGGTGTTTCTCGGGAATAAAGCGAGGCAAGGTTGTGTTGGCGTTGGTGGTGGTGATGCTGGCAAAAGACCGTTCAGTGTCGGAACCCAACTTTCAGTCGCAGCTTGCCTCGTCTGAGAGGAGAAGGAGAGCCGGTGGACGTGCCCCTCCCCCCTTCAGCGACGGATGATGCTGGAATGGTCCGTGCAAGCCCACTACAGCACCTTAGCGCCCTCGGATTGTCAGGGCCGTCAGCCTCCAGGGAGCTGTGTGGCCCGCTGGAGGAGCTGAGGTGCGGGAGAAGGCGGGGTTGGGAACGGTGCAAGAGCACAAGACGTACCTCGAAGCTTAGGTAAGGCAAGGTAAGCAGCACCGGACCTGTCACTTTTACCGTCTGGTTACACCAACGATTCTCATTCAATATTTTTCGAGTTCTGAGTACCCAAGGTAGTCAAAGCAGATGAACAGCTTGCTGCATACAAAGAAAGTCGTATCTATCGCGAAGATCTGTACATATGGAGAAGTAGGGACTGATGCTGACCTTGGCAACCCAACCAGACGCCATGGCCCTCGGTGTCACCAGGGCTTCACTTACACAGCTGTGACAGACAGCCATCAGCCAAACTCTGTGTCAGGGAGCTGGGCTTTGGCCCAACTTTGCTAGCGAGTAGGCCCTAGATTTTTTGAAGAGTGGATACAATTCTAAAAGAATTAATGACAATCCGTCAGTGTCTCCTAACCAGTCTTTGGTCAGCCTTTTTAATCATGCTTTTGTGTAATTGACTATTCGAGCACTCAGTTCAACGTCTAGCAGCAAAAGCAATGCATGAGAGCCAGTCCCAAACTTCCGTCATATGCTTTTTTTCAATCCATGACTGGTTGAATTGACTTTTACTGTCATGATTCGAGGCAAAGATGGCCTGGAAACTAGCAGCATATTCGCAAATGCTAGGAAGGCGTCTGTTACTCATCTACTGAACTGAGGATCGTCTACATGGCCCCCATACGTCTTACAAGCTATTCCTGAAATACAGCATATCATACCAACCGGGGGCGGCTCTGTATAGGTTATCAGTGTTGAAAGATGCTGGCGAGCTTCTCTCGTAGATTCATCAAAGGAGTATTCAGATCGTTATTAAGCTGGGCTTTGTTTAGTGTAAAGATGAACGAGAAAGCAAGGCAAAGACTGCTTAGAATCCGAGGAACAAGCCCGTGGAACAAGCCGCCCGTTATCATCTTCTCTCAGAAGGGATTCGCAAACACCGAATTAGAGGCATGCGATTCTAGGTAAGACGAGGTCTGTAGTCTTGCTCTTTAACCTTTATTTCCTGGCGGCTTCAATCCTAAAAGGTTGGAAGGAGACCATCCAGTCCCATCTGGTTGGGGAGACTGACTCAGCATCGTGTCTTAGGTAATCACTCGATACACGGCACGTGACCCCATAATCGCCCTTTCCTCATCCGGCCCAAGTGAGCCAGGGAAGCTGAGCGTCGCGTTTCCTGCCGCCTGCAGTGGCTCCCGGTGTTGCTACGCACTGATTACCTACGCAAGCAGCAGCAGCCTTGCCTTCCATTGCTCCCCTGCGCTTCCATCTCCATCTCCGGAACCCACCTACACCCATCATCATCACAAGCTCATTGACGACACCCCAACACCTCCCCGAATCAGAGGATCGCCCGTTTTTCTTCTCATCAACACAGAAAAGCCGTCTGCACACTTCCACTGAGCTCTTGGAGCTCCCCGTGGCACAAGATGGTGAGCATCACTGTCCGAAACGTGGCAGTCACAATCTAACAGCTTCGTAGGGTCAAAACCAGTCAGGAATGGGTGGTGGAGGCGATGGAAAGGACGAGAAGGATAAGAAGGTATGTTTATCGAGTTTGGAAACAATAAAGAAGAAGATGAATACTGACTGACTGGCAATGCAGAAGGAGAAGCCCAAGTACGAGCCTCCCCCACGCCCTACCACCAGAGTCGGTCGCAAGAAGAGAAAGGCGGCCGGCACCAGCGCCGCTGCGAAGCTTCCCGCCGTCTTCCCCACCAGTCGATGCAAACTCCGCCTACTACGAATGCAGCGAATCCACGATCACTTGATCCTGGAAGAGGAATACGTCGAGAACCAAGAGCGCCTTCGCAAGGCCAAGGCCGTCAAGGAGGGTGCTGCCGTTGGCCCCGAGGGTGATGTCGACCGCATGGCAGACGAGCGCGGTCGTGTCGACGATATGCGTGGCAGCCCCATGGGCGTCGGTACGCTGGAGGAGATGATTGACGATGACCACGCGATTGTCAGTAGCACGACTGGTCCCGAGTACTATGTCAGCATCATGAGCTTCGTCGACAAGGACTTGCTGGAACCTGGCGCCAGTGTCCTTCTCCATCACAAGAGCGTCAGCATTGTCGGTGTTCTGACCGACGATGCTGATCCCCTGGTCAGTGTGATGAAGCTGGACAAGGCTCCGACGGAGTCATACGCCGACATTGGTGGTTTGGAGCAGCAGATCCAGGAAGTCAGAGAGTCAGTCGAGCTTCCTCTGCTGCATCCGGAGCTGTACGAGGAGATGGGTATCAAGCCGCCGAAAGGTGTCATTCTCTACGGTGCTCCCGGTACCGGAAAGACGCTGCTCGCCAAGGCTGTCGCCAACCAGACGTCTGCCACTTTCCTGCGTATAGTGGGAAGTGAACTTATTCAGAAGTACCTCGGAGACGGTCCCCGTCTTGTCCGCCAGTTGTTCCAGGTACGTTTGTCTTGATTATTTTTGCCAATGCGATGGTCACTGACAAGTTTAGGTTGCTGGCGAGAATGCTCCCTCGATTGTCTTCATTGATGAAATCGATGCCATCGGCACGAAGCGTTACGACTCGACGTCTGGTGGTGAGCGCGAAGTCCAGAGAACCATGCTGGAACTTCTCAACCAGCTTGACGGTTTCGACGACCGCGGTGACGTCAAGGTCATCATGGCCACCAACAAGATCGAGACTCTCGACCCTGCCCTGATTCGTCCCGGACGTATCGACAGAAAGATTCTCTTTGAGAACCCCGATCAGAACACCAAGCGCAAGATCTTTACGCTTCACACATCCAAGATGTCGCTCAACGACGATGTCGACCTGGAGGAGTTCATCTCGCAAAAGGACGACCTTTCTGGTGCCGACATCAAGGCCATTTGCTCAGAGGCTGGTCTCTTGGCTCTCCGTGAACGCCGTATGCGCGTCCAGATGGCAGACTTCCGGTCGGCCAGAGAGAGAGTACTTCGCACCAAGCAGGAGAGTGAGCCTGAGGGCTTGTACTTGTAGTTTGTATGACGAGGGTACGGGACTAAGGCTAGACGGGACTACGATAGAGATAATGGCAAGGCATGCCTTGACGTTACTTGACGTTGACTTGGCATTGATTAACGACATGACATGCGTTGATAATGTTGCAGCTTGAAATGATGACCATGTGACATGTAGTGAAGCAACAACCGGTAATTAGAAAGTGTTTAATCTCCTTGCCCAACGACGACTTCTCGACTCCCAGGCGAACTACATATTATAAGCACCGAACAACAACCCTAATTCGACCTAAACGAAATGCCATCTACCGATATGAAGCGGTTTGGTCGAACAGAGGCCCTTAGTAAGACGCCAATATCTCTCCGCATACTAACGGAAGGGTGCCAGGGTCTCAATGGTGAAATTGGCCGCCAGCTCACAGAGTGGCAATCTGAATGTCAGCGAAAGCGTGATGTCCAGAGGAACTTTCTTCATGTCACTCTGAACCCAAGGTGTGATTGTGCAGCTTGACAGCCTCGGCCAGGCTCTTTTTTGCATTGAGTGAGGTGAGGTCTAGACTTCACAGCCTCTACTCCGAAGGGACAGCATCCCTGACGTGTCCGGCTGGCGAGTGTCAAGGAAGTTCCTGGCCGATGAGGCGAGGTACCGGAAGCATATTCTAATTCGATTCCCCGCTGAATTTAGGGTTGTTGAGGGTAATTTTGTAAATGAGAACTTTAAACGGGAATTCATATTGTCTTGATATCGTGCTATAGGAAATTATTGTGACAGTCTAATGTTGCGCGCCATAATCCGTAATCCCAAATGTAAAAGAAATGATGCTCAATCTAAGATAGATCGTTCAAGCCAAGGCGCATTCGTTAGAGACATCTGTTACAAAGACAAACCGTTATGAGGAAAAAAACTGCAAATCACAGCTTAGTATCCCGCCCGCCTAAGCCTCTCCTTTTCATCCAAGACAGGCTCCTCTTCGACATCCTTGGGCGCGTTCGTGATCCCCTCCTCTCCACCACCGTAAGTGTTCAAATTCAACTGCGACGCAATGGAAGGCGTATACGCCGGCGCAGGCACATCATCCTCCATCGGCGGCGGCGGCGTAGCATCCCCCGGCGGCCCCATCATCGCCACCTCCCTCGCAATAGCAGGATCCATCGTATACCGCCCCTCCAGCGCCATTAGTGTCTGCCAAAGCGGCATCGACCCCTCGGGCCACTCGGCCTGCGTCTGCAGAATCTTCTTGGCCGAGATGCGGCGGTCCGCGTAGGCCACGCCGTTGCAGTCTTGTCTCGCGAGGATGATTGTCCCGTCAATCTGCACGCCCGCCCAGAGGCCGCGGGACTTCATGTAGCTGTACATTGGCCTCGCCGTCTTGGATACCGCGGCTTCCACTGCGCCGCCTGTGCCGACGGGCCCGATTGCCACGGAGGCTTCTGTGCCTAGGGAGACGCGCGGGTGCGTGAAGGCTGCGACTTGGGCTGCGGTGTTGAGGACGAGGACGCAGTCGTATATGTCGAGGCCGAACATGAAGCCCGCGCCGAGGGTGGACACGACAAACGACGAAGGGGGGGACCACGTCCCGTCCGGTCTGCGC